GTGACGGGAGTCGCCTCAAGGGGCTCTCGTTATTAGAGGGCAACTCGAGCATCAGAATAAACAGCAATGAGTTCGAAACACAACCCAACAAAACAGGGAATCAGGGATCCACTTTGATTGTGATTAGATAAGTAATTGATTAATTGGAGGCAAGGGGAAGTGTCCCCTTGCAACACAACACAGTCAATAATGGTGGCCTTACCTGATCACCACTGGGCGGCTATCGCATGGTAATTAGAGCAGACAGCAGTTGTCTCTGAAGGGTGGTAGGAGGCGGTTTGACAGGGAATAGGACACGTCTCTACAAGTCTCTACAAGATGCAAATACAACCAGGAAACGTTGCCTACAGCAGAGAAGGCTGGCAACACCAGCTCACCAAGTAGCGAGGAAGGTCTGAATCGTGAGTGTGGCATGTGGCACTAGAGGGACACAGCGCTGCCTGTGAGCCTTGTGCAAGAGTGCAGGGGCCAGGCTGAGAGCCTGCACAAGGAAAAACCGCTTCCTTAGAGGTCAAGGCCAGAAGCAAAGACTGAACCATGGGGCTCCAATCGGGGGTCTTCTAGTCCAAAGTCCATGCTGATTTCTTTGTTACCTTCTAGTCGTGACCCAGAAAACTCCCTGCTGTCTTCAGACTCAGCATTTATGAAGAGCGTACTTGTAGCCCTCTCCTGCAGCTACTCACTGGGGAGCTTATTTTCTTTTCAGCAAAATTAATTGAAGTTCATTTTTCTCAAGCTTTTCAATGCAAGCAAGAGGCACCATCCGGTATGTGTTGATGGCCAGGGTGGAGGAAGGGGGAGATGTCTGACTGTTGGTAGCGTTGTCCTTGTGACCCCACCTCCCCTGAGCCTGCTGGCACAGCGGAGCGGTGTGGCCAATGCCGTCTTTCGTTTGGGAGGAAGCCGCTCCAGAATGAGCTCCGCTTTCCTGAAGGTTATAATGGAGTCGGCTCCTTTGCTATGCATAAAATATTTGGGGATTTCGAACAAAGATCTACAGGGATTGGGCTAGTTGAGGGAGAAATGAGTGAAATATCCTCTGTAGACTCAGATAAAGTAAGCAAGGAAAAGGCCACGCCCTGTGGCTCTGTTCAGCCCACCAGGACAGGGAGTCAACCCAGTCCCTCAGTGGAGGGAAGAGAAGGTGACAGTGTGTCCAGGCACAATGGAATACTATTCAGTCTTGGAAAAGATGGAAATCCTAACATGTGTGACCCCATGGATGGAACTGAAGAACACTACTCTGAGTGAGACAAGCTGGGCTCAGGAAGGCACGTGCTGCACGTTCTCACAGGCAGAACCTCAAACAATTGAACTCATCCAGGCAGAGAAGTGTTGGGCCGCTGCCTTTGTCTCGTTGTTTTTGATAAGCACGAAGAGAATATTTCTGAGAGGAGTTCAGAGCAAAGAGGGCCATCATGGCTGTCCCTTGGTGAATTTTGTCATGGTCACAAAATCAGTACCAGGGTATGGAGAAGGTGTAGAAAGGAGAGGCCAGTGGATTCAGCAGATGACCTGTCCTTTACACGAACGTATTGGTCAAATAAGTTTGGGAAACAGAAGTGTAAATAAATCCAACTGAATTGCTCAAGCCTTTTTGTATGATCGCATGCACTGTGAGTTTCTAACACCTATTTGACCAAAGATTTTTTTTGTTTTGTTTTAATGCTCAGCACTTCTGAGGACTAAAATCTGAAGAAGGTGCTTTATTAAATCATGGTCTAAACAACAGAGAAGGAAACTTTTTTGATGGCCTCTGGATGACACATCACTTAGATTATGACCTGTGTAGTGTGCATCGCTTTTGTTACAGTCTTCTGCGAGGCAGCGTTACTGACGCCCTGCTTGATGAACTCAGCAAGCCCAGTTCATAGTTTTGCACCTCCACAGCTGACAGACTCCATTCCAAATGGGAATCCGAGCCAGCCCTGGACCTGGGAGCTGAACTCTGGCACAGCGAGTGGAATGGTTGCTTTTGCAACTAACTTCATTTACTCCTTAACATTCGTGCGCTGTGAAATGTCTCTTTGGGGATCAAGAAGCACAAAGCAGAGACAGTTATTCAAAGCCACTGCCTATAAATCGGGAGCTCAATGCAGCCGGCAGGCGGGGAAGGCCAGGCTAGGCGTCTGCAGCTGAGCTGTGGTGCAGGAAGCTGCCGAGGCCACAGCTGGAGCCCTGGTACCTTTCTCTCAGAACCTCCTACCAACCTTGGCTTGGCAGGTGCCTTTTGCGAAGTCTGGTCAACTTGTTTTCCATGAAAGGTATGAAAGTCTATGCCAAAAATCCAGGGGAGCAGCACCAGGGGCCTCTCACTTCAGCCCCATAGGGTCAGCCAGAGCCTGGCCTGTGTTCTCTAGTCTCTTTCCTTGACCCCCCCCCCTTCCATCTCATTTTAATGACTGCAATTCATTTGCTCTGCGTGATCACCTTAGGCTGACTTTAAAGGTGCACAATGAACGTCTGCGTTCTTCCTGTGACAAAATCTATCATCAGATTTCATTATTATGAATTCAGTTTGGATGAAGCTTTCTGAATTGGATCCTCTTACTCTTGTCTCAAATGAAAGGAATTTGCTATTTTTAAAAAATCTGATACATGGTGTTTATTTATGAAGCGCTTGGAGCCATCTGTAGAAGTGGAGCTTTGCGAGACTGTGCAGCCCCTCTTTTATTCAAGCAGCCAGCTGGACTGTCCTGAAGATTGATTCCTAGGAGACGCTAGACCAGAAAGCCCTTGGTTGAGTTAGATCTGGACTGTTGTGTCCTGCACTATAGGGGAAGCAGTCTGTGGGGTGAGGACTCTGACCCTGAGCACAGTGGTGTGTGACGACCCCCCAGGGTGCAAAAATGCTGGGGAAACACCAGTGAAACCCCTTCCAAAACAACAAGGATGCACTTGGTTTTGTTCCCTCTGAGCACAGGCACGTGGGCAGCCTGGAGGCGGGGGGAGCAGCGGGCCTAGAGGAGAGGGCCTCACTAGCCTGCAGGCAGGACAGTTGTGTCCTCTGTCTGTGGGACTCTTAGAGCCTGGGATGCTTCAGATACGGAGGGGGGACAACTCCACCCAGCTGAGTGTGGCAGTGGCTGATTCAATAGTGTGTGCAAAGCTCTGGATACACAGGAAGGGCTCATGTTCCAAAAAGTATCATCATTCTTTACCAAGATGTGAACGATGATAATGGTATTCTCGATGAGGGTCATCACAGTGTAAAACACACACAATATAAAAGGATGCTGTGCACAGTCACAGGGTGAATAGGAATATGCACTGTCAGCTGCTATCTAGGTTTTGCATCTGCAGATCCACCACTCGCAGACAGTAAACTCCTGGGAAACAGCTGCGAATGTACTGAGCATGTGCAAGTCTTGTTGTCATGGTGTCATGCCCTGACGACACAGGACGGCAGGGGTGCGTGTGACGTTGACACTGGATCAGGTGACATAAGCAGTCTGGAGATAACATAGGGCACACAGGAGGATGCGCACAGGTCACACGGAACCTGTGCCATTGTGAGAGGGACCCAGGTGTCGGAGGATGGGTCCTGAGACCAAGCCCCGCCCACTGCGTATGTATACGCCCAACCTGATGAATGTCCCTGGCTCTTCCTTCCTGTCCCTGGACAAGTCTTACCTCTGGTAAACACTTCTCCAGAGACTTAAGCCCCTGGGAGGTTGCGCTCCTCTCACCCCCAGAAGCTCCGTCACTGGCACAGACCTCAGCTCGGCCCGTGTCTTCCCTGCTGTGAGCTCACTCTGCAGACCAAGGCTGCGGGACTTCCTCTCATATCACTAGCTACTTCACTGGCTTTTCCTTGCCAGGATTTATTTCCTATTTCGTGGGTGAACAGAGGAAATGTCAGCAACCACTCTTCACGTTTAGCAGTGAGCACTGTGTTGCTAGCACTGCAGGCCTGTCAGTGCTGTGTGCCAGTCGCTCAGGACAGTGGCAGCTCTGTGGGTGATGGAGGAGCACAGCTGCAGGGAGCTGGCTGGCCTGTCGTGAGCCGTGGCTGTGAGTTCTGATGACCTACGCTCGCCAGCACAGTTGGGTGGAGGTGGTGCCTGTTGGGCCCCTGTGCCAGGACATGCCTAGGGTCACAGGCAGCCTCGGGTCACAGGCAGCGTCTGGATTTCCTTCCCTTGGAGCCCTCCTCCCTGTCCAGCGGAGGCCCCTCCTTGCCCTCTGGCTGGTGCAGCCTGCTGCTCCACATTTGTTTCCAGGTCTCATAACAGCAGATGCCAAGTCTGAAGGTGATCTGAAGGTCAATGATACTGCTCTTCTCAACGCCTTGGTGTCAGTGGAAATGCGTGTCATATTTTGCTGTGACTTTCCATATTCGCTTTGCATACGTAGGCATTCACCTCTCTATAAAGGCATGAGCTGGTGTCTCATTTCACTGGACGGCACAAGGAAGGCAGACAGACACTCAGTGTCCACTAGCCACAACCCCAGTCTTCCGATTCTCGGTTCAGCATTTCTCCTCCTAACATCAGAGAAGAAACTTGGTGGATCCATTTCTGTGGAACTGAATGGGAGAAAGATCAACACAGTATGCAAAATAATGAAGAGGTCCCAGACCTGAAAAGAGCTTTGACATTTCCTCTGCTTTCTCGTCTACCTTTCACCTACATTTATAATAAAATACCTTCTAGCTGCCAATATATCTTCAGTTTTTAACTGCCTGAGCTAGATTTCAGACAGCTGCATTTGAACCAGACATCTGGTTTATTTACTAAAATGTATTCATTAGCATGTTTTAGAAGTGACCATTGCTTAGAGTTCTCCATAATATTTTTGAAACTCCTGTAAAATGCTGGACTACCCCTGAACCTTAGATTTGCATAAGACCCTGAGATCAATGAAAAGCCTTCTGATACCTTCTAGGCAGAAACAGCATATTTTATCTTAAATCATTGAGAGCACTGGGACGTACTGTAAGATGGTCAACCATACAAATAAGGAAACGACTAAACTTCCTCCCTTTCTTCCCTCCCTAGCTTGAAGGGAGCCGATGCTGGCAACGGGATCCGCGTGTTTGTGCCTGACATCGGGATGTTCATCGCCAGCCTGACTATCTGGCTCGTCTGCAGAAACATCGTTCAGAAACCAGTGACAGAAGAAGCAGCACAATATAACCTGGAGTTTGAAAATGAAGAACTGGTAAATCTGACTATGTGTGTCTTCCCTCCTGGGCCCCAGGGCCTTGCTCCTTGATAGTCGTGGCACTGTGATAGCTCCCTGTGCAGAGCCCAGTGACTGACAGAGCATTGGCAAAGCCCTAACAGTCCCTCCACAAAGCCACCTGGGTGGCCCGCTGGACACACCTCTCTTCCATAGCTGAGCCACATGGAGACAGGTGGGGACATGAGTGCTCACCCTTCCTGAGGAGGAGCTCAATGGGTAAGGCCAGCTCGAGAGCCCCAGCTGTCATCTGATGCTAAGGCAGATGGTAACCTCGTGAAGCTGCACTGGGTCCACATGTTATGAGCCGCTGGGTCTGGAGATCTTGGTATCTGGAGAAGCAGTAACACGGGTAGTTTCTGGAAGAAAAGATTCACTCCTCCTTCAGGGGAGACTTCCACTGCGCCCCTCACCCTCCAAGACAGTTATGTTGACGCGGCTGTTGGTCAAGTTATTTTAAAACATTCTGGAGGGGGAAAAGATACTTTTAGAGAAGCATGAGAACTGAAAAACAGATAAGGTAGAGATAAAGAGTGAACTGTAAGTGCTCAGCTAGTACCCAGGGCTCGGGGGTCGCTCCCAGACCAGGAGGTGTGCGGGGGCCTGTCAGCCGCCTCTCGTGCTGTCCCCTGACCTGTTCCAGCAGGCGCGCCTGATGACTGCCTCGGTTCTGCAGGTTCAGGTGGCATCAATGTCAAAAGTCATTCATTTAGTAACGGAAAGATGAGATTTACGAATTTAAAAGTCACTCAAATATATTTGATTTGGACATTTGACACAAGATACAACTACCAAATGTTTTAAGTTGAACTTGTAAAGCTGAACTTACTAATGTTGAGAATGGTCACCTCTGTGCCTCAAAGGAGGCCAACCAGAATGCAGCTGTCACCCCAGCGCCCTGCAGGTGGAGATGTGCCTTCACACTGCGTGTCCCGTTCCCCCTTCAAAGGCAAGAAGGGCACAGGGTGCAGGAAACAGTGTCAGCTGAGCTGCTGCTAACAGCGTTTTGCATTCGAGGCTACAGCCCTGAAAACAAATAAAACTGTGGACATTATTTTTCTTCTTGTTCACCTCACAGTTTTAAGACAGGCAATTTAAATTTTGAGTATCTGCTTTCATATTCTAATTCATATCCTAATTTTATTTTATGATATTTAGAGTTTTGAAAAGATTCTGCTTAAAATAATCATTACCAAAATTTGTCCCATGTGTTGTGAATGGAAACCCATTAATTAACTCAAGTTTTATAAGCTCATGACATTTACATCATTATTATTTATAAGGTGAGACTTTTTTTCGATTATCCTCTTATTGTGGATGGAGATAGAGGATAACTACTGACAACTGGGTGGACTTTGAAGTCAGAGATGGAAGCGAACGCTGTGTGGTTGGGAAGTCTGTCCACACTCTTCCTAGACTGAGTTAATAGGTCAGAGGCGCAGCTCAGAGGTGAGCAGGTGCTTAGCATGCATGAGGCCTAGGGATAAATCCCCTGCACCAAAAAACAAAACAAAAACCCCAAGGAATTAGTAGTGATGCATCACATAGCAGTCGTGAGTACAAAGTAAACATAAAATCCATGCGATGCCTGGGTGCCTGCTCATAAGTTGCTTCTTCCTCCCTTCCACGCCCTTCTCCAGCTTGAGGGGGAGCAATTTCAAAGCCAGGGTCCTCTCAGAACTCTAGACACTTATGTTGGACAGTGTGTTTGTGTTTCTCTCCCAGAGAACCCCTTCTCGCCACTCGTGACAGATAAACGTGAACAGACGGCGGAGGTTCTCATGAAAAGAGCTTGTGTCTGACGGTCAGGGTCTGACAGCTGGGGAAGTGTGATCACGGGCACCAGTTCTAAAATCATGCTTCTTTCTCCAGGACACTTCCTTTTCGTGTTTAGACTAGTGGGAGCTCTGTGCCATCTGAAATTTGTATAAGTTTCTAAGCATTACACATCATGAACCCTGTTATTTAAAGATAATAATATAAATTCTCTAAGTATCTCATTCCAGGCTTTGAAAATGCTAAATGTGATTGTCAGGTTGTTTCCCTTCTTGGTTGATTTACATATTAAGGTCCATTCTCTTAGCATCTTCCATCCGCAGGGATCCCAGGAGGAAGAGGGTGGTGGGTGAAGCCTCCAAGTTCAGTCTACAAGGAAAGATTTCTTACTTTGGCAATCTGGGCTTCAGTCTGAAAGGAACAGGGTCACACAGCCAAAATCCGCAGCTGAATTTATTTTATTTTTGAAGGGCCCAACGTACTTCCTGCTGCTTATAAATCTTGGCTTTTGCTCTCCAGAATGTTTGGGTTTCGAGGATACCAAAAGACTAGTGTTTGCTGGCTTTGTTGCTTCTTTCATTTATCTCAATGGAGAAATGGCGAAGTCCATCTCCTGGTGCCAGGGAGAATTCTTCTCAAGTGCAGCATCCATTAAAGTAGCAACTAATCCCTGAGGAAGACTCATGGGTCTCTGTGGATTTGATGATGAGGCTGCTTGCTCTCTTAAGGTGTTAACATTCTGCCCACCAATGACCCCATCAAGGTTAACATGAACCCTGTCCACCCAATCACCAGAGCCAGATACTTGATATAACCCTGGCTTCCCTGGGCCCCTTGTCCGTCACATCAGCAAATCCTTTGTCTTCACCTCCAAGTGCTGTCTGCACGCAGGGCCCCCACTGCCATAGTTGCTGCCAGCAGCCACTGGCTCTCAACTAGACCCAGAAGACCCTCCAGATGGGGGTCCCGCTGCAGCTTCTGTTCTCACCCCATCCGTGGAGATGACACACAGCAGCTGTTCCTATAAAGTTGAGGATGAAATCATGGAGAAGATATTTCTTTGGATTTCCACTAAACCAGAATAAAACACAGGCTCCTGATCCCAACGTGGCTTTGCAGGACCTGGCCATGTCCTGCCCTCTCCCTCCCCGACCATGCAGACAGGACCCTTCCTCCCCCTCTTCCCTCCCCCATGAGGCCTGCCCCAGCCACCTTCCAAAGTGGGCTTCCTGGGCAGGGCCTGCGTGTTCATGATCACAGCCTGTAGTGCTCGCCCGTGTTGCTCTGTTACTCATTTCTGGTGTCCCCCAGTGGCCACAGGCTCTAGGAGGGCAAGGCTCTGCTTGTCTGGACCTCTGTTGTAGCCCAGAATATGGCAGGATCCTGAGGACCACGAGCCTGGTGGTGCCCGTGCACTCTTTGGGCACTGACTGCATGTAATGGGTGCACAGGGCAGTCCATGCAGAAAACCAAAGGCAGCACAGGAGGGCAAGCCTCGGGCAGCACGGCTGCAGGGGTGAGTGTCCCCAACCCCAGAAGTCTCCATGGAGCCAGAGTGGAGCCACCAAACCACCCCTGGGCCAGTCTGTCCTCACTGGGCCTGAAGAAGAGGTGCTTACATAAGGGTACTTTTACTCCGTTCCTTTTCTCTGAGGTCCTACTGTGAACCAGATGGTCTAAATCTAATATCTAACAGCAGTTAGTTTTTGGTTTTGGTGTTTTGTTGTTGTTTTGGGGGGATCATGTGGTTTTTGTTTGTTTTTTCTTTTTGCTTTTTGCTTTGCTTTGCTTACCAATAATATTTTTCTTCCTTATCATTTAATAATCCCATCCATCTTAGGAATGATTGGAACAGGGCATCCAAAATTCCTGCAGTCAGGTGGGCTTAGGACCTGACATTTGCATTTTATAAAGCTAATATACTGGCATCCCTGAGCAATGAATGTGCCATGAAGAATTCTTTGTCTTTCCCTTGGACCCAGCACAGGGCCTGGAGCAGAGCCAGGCTCCGGAGCAGGTGCTGAATGGCGGGATGGATGGGGAAGGCCGTCAGGCTGCTGATCCCTGCTCTGCTCAACCTTTTCACCTCAGTTTGTCATTGTTGTCTTGGGACTTTTTGTTTGTTTGTATTGCAGTGCTGGGGCTTGAGGGTCCACGCAAAGACTTCACCACCAAGCCACATCCCCAGCCCCCTTTGACACCTTCATAACAGAGACTTAGAGAGGTTGGTTTTCTTTGCATCTTGAGCCATCACAAGTAATCCCATGGGTCCTGTGTCTTTCAGGAAGCTTTGGAGCACCAGCCAGGCTTGTGCCCCCCACTCCTAGAGCAAGTACCAGGCATGTCGTCTAGAAGAGTCAAATTTAGCTTTTCCTAGGAAAGAAAGGGTAGCACAGGGCTAGCACACCATGAGTGTGCATGTGTGTGCTCATATTCATGTGTGCGTGTGTATGCATTGTGTGCATGTGTGTGCATTGTGTGCGTGTGTATGTGTGTGTGCATGTGTGTGCATTGTGTGTGCATGTGTGTGCATTGTGTGTATGTGTGTGCATTGTGTATAGTGTGTGCTCATGTGCATGTGTGCATGTGTGTGCATTGTGTGTGCATGTGGGTGCGTGTGTGCATTGTGTGCATGTGTATGTCTGTGTGCATTTTTGTGTGTGTGTGCATTGTGGGCGAATGTGTGTGTGTGTATGTGCATGTGTGCATGCATGTGCGTGTGTGCATGTGTGCATTGTGTGTGCATGTGTGTGCATGTGTGAATGCTGCTTTGGTTTTATGCTTTTCTATTAGGTGATTTTCTTTTTAAATCTCAAAGCAAAACCCCTTTAACATAAATGGTCACTGCACTTGGCTGGTCTCCTTTGCTATTCATTTGCTTCTCACATGATGTTCAGATGACTCCTGAGGACGGGTGCCTTCTTACTTGGCCACCTAACTGGGGAGTTTTTAGACGTTCCCGCACAGGGCCAGAACAAGCCCAGGGAGAGGCCATGTGTGCTGGCACTTCCAGATCCCCTATGCTGTCCTGCCTGGTTCCTGACCCCCAGCCTGTTGTTAAGCCCATTGCCCTCCAGGCGGTGGGAACCCACACATCCACATGCTCCCTTTCCCAGATGACCTGGGAGCGCTTTAAATTGCTATCGTGATTTTGGAGAACAATCTTCCCGAAGCCAGTCTAGCAGGGAATAAGCCCTCACATTAGGCTTGGTGACATTCGCGATAGCCCACACCAGTCCACTTCCTCCTTTGCCTTCTCACCTCTAAGGGATGCTGGAGACAAAGTTTGTCCCTTACAGTGAACCATAGCATGTTTGCTCCCTGCCTCGTGCTCTTTGTTAGGACCAGTTGTCAACATGTCACAAGGCACACTGCATGAAAAACTAGTGACACTGCAGAAACACGCTCCCTTTGCCTCTGATTTTAGACTCCTGGGTGTGACTTCAATAAATTCCTATGGAAGTGTTTTAAAAACTGATTTCTCACCAAAAATAATAGGAACAAGATTCCATTGCCCAAAAGCTCCGGTCTGGGGTCTGAGCTTGACTGGACCCCAACAAGGTTCCAAAGAGAAATGTCCTCAATATATTTTCCAAAAAAAGGGGTCTGCAGAGATGTGACTCCAACAGAATACCTTGGCATTGCACCACCCCAGTGGGACCCAGTGCTGAAGCCACACCACAGCGCCAGTGCCTACTGCATGTAGGGGCTCCACGTGTGGTGGCTACAGCTCTGTGGGGCACCATGTTCTGTGCACCAAGACAAGGACTAGACACCTCTCACCCCAGGAGGCTGCCCACCCACCACAGCCCAGTCCCAGGGCTTCTAATCAGCTCCACACAGAGAAGACAGAGCTGCCCATGGGACCACGCCTTCACGTCCCCCACCCCTCCGTGTGTCACTCAGTCTGGGTTGGAATAAACCTGAGGATCATCTGGGGACCACCAGGGGTCAGGCTGCCAGGTTCAACCTTGGACTTACTAAATCAGAAATTCTGAGGGTGAATTCAGGGCATGAGTGATTCCGAGGCTGCTACTGTTCACAATCACCACCTTGTGCCACTTCATACCTCGGTTCTTTGCTGTATTTTAATGGACAGACACTAGTTGCGTATTCATGGTGCACTGTGCTGTTTGGGTTTCTGTAGACACGTGGAATGACCAACTCGGGGTCCTCAGCACATTGATTTCCTCAAATGCCTGCTATTTCTCTGTGTTGTGAGCATTTAAAATCCCTTTCACCGACCTGGGAGTACACCTGCTCTTCACCTGGTCAGCAGGCCCTGCGGGAGGTCAACAGAGCTGTCCCTGCACCTGGCCCTGGCCCCTTGCCACCCACCCCCACCCCGCAACCCAGCTCTGCCTTGGCCCTGCTCTTGCGGGTTCAGGCCCCGTGGGCGTGGAAGCGGGTCTGTCTTCCTGGGCCTGGTTCACTTCACTTGGCCTCAGCTCCCTGGGTCCCTCCTGGCAGGTGTCAGGATTTCCTGTGGGAATCAGCATCTTTTAAAGAGGGAGGTAAAGGACTAAAACGTCTTTGAATGCTCATTAGGTTTTGACATGGACAGTGATTCCGTGGGACGTTTCCCGTGGCTTGTTGTGCCCTGGAGGGCTCACTTTGTCTTCGCCCAGACGCCCTAGAACCAGGGGCTGGGGGACTGTTTACAACTGCAGCTCTCCCAGCTCCCAGGCCAGGTGCAAGCTGGACTCTGCCTGTTGGTAAACAATCCAGAGGGAGCCCTGCCCTGCTGGCCCTGCCTAGGCTGCAGCAGATGACCAAGGGGACAAGCCTGCCTGTCAGGAGCCAGTGGGCTTGCAGCCCACCCCACCTCCCTCGCCCACTCGGCTTAGCGGGCTCAGAAAGCCTTTCCAGCCGAGGGCCCCAGGGGTTCTGGTGTAAAATTCTGCAGGGCTTCACGTGCAGCAGTGTGTTTATGACAGCCAGCAGCCGTCTTGCCTGGAGAGGTCAGGGGAGCTGCCGGAGCACATTGCCGCTTGATTTAATCTACATCCGCAGCCATTGCATAATTGAATAGTAAGTCATCTGTCACGATCGTCACCGGTGCATTTCTGTGTCCCAGGCAGGCCTCACGGCCATCCCCTCCTTCAGTGCAGTGTAAAGGCGTGGGCCGAGCTCCTTCCTGGATGGATGGTTTTCATGCCCACTCACTGAGAGTAAGGAGGGTTGGCCCCGATGCCCGCCTGTGCCAGGGTGACCTGAGGTGGCCTCAAGGGCTGTGCTGGAGGAGGACCCTGGTCTTCCTGTCCTCCAGGAGCTGGAGTAGGCCGACAGGAAGAGGCCTGAGGCTGGGCCTGCAGCTAATCAAGGATGCCAGCCACGGCGTGTGGGCCAGCAAGGAGAACCATTGGGTTCTGTTCCCCAGGGGTCCCTCTCGATGCTGAGGCCAAGGGAGGGGCTGCAGGCGGGCAGCAGCAGAGAGGTGACCATCTCTGTCCTCAACTCAGGTACTATCAGAGCCCCACATAAGACCCACTCACCCTCCAGTGAGTCCCAAACAGGCCTCTGCAGTTCCTGCCGCCCCAAATGCTGCCAACTGCTGCTCTGGCTGCCTGCTGGGCTCTGCCATCAGAGCACCTGGAGGACTCTGGGGTGGAATTCCCAGCCCAGGGTGTTGCCTCCAAGCCTCCAGCCTGCTTCCCCGTCCTCTGCCACCAATAAAGACAAGCATAGGAACAACATTTGTCCCCCCCCCCCCCCGTCTCTCTAACCCCCATGGCAGAGTCACTGCTACTCCTGCCGACTGGACCCTCTAACACCTCACAGACACACACCCCCTCCTCCCCCGACCACAGCCATGAGCTGCCAGCTGCTGTCTCCCCTCTGCTTATTCCCCAGCAGCTCAAGTGCATGCATATCAGAATTGCATGGGGAACTGGAGGAGGATCTGCTCAAACTTTTTGGAGAGGTTCCCTTTGGGAGGCAAAGGCTGGTTTCTCCTCTGAGATTAGAGAGTGAAGCATGTTTGTTTGTTGATGGGGGTCATCAGAGAGAAATGGAGTGTGTTGTGATGCGGGACATAGGAGGAGTGGCTGACCCATTCCTCTTCCTGCTGTCCTGAGCAGATGAGATCCAGTCGAGTTTGCTGGAGCACTTGCAGCTTGCATTGCTACAGGAGGAAGACAGACTGCATGGCTGGCAGACAGGCCTCAGGAAAGCTTTTTGATGGGCCTGATACAGTTTGGTGATCTTCCCTCAGTGAAGTAGACTATAGATTCATCCTCTGAGAATCGGAAGGCTGAAAACCTGATGGTGGTCCTTTAAGGGTGCAGAAGAGGCCATAGCCAGAACACCTCGGGCCAGCTCTTCCCTCTGCCCAGAGTGCCCTTTCCTCGGACTTGACCTCATGACATGTCACCTCCTCTAAGAGAGTCTCCCTGACCTCAGATCTAATGGAGCCACCCTTTCCGTCAGTCCTTCCCTATTTGATTCCTTACTGGAGATATTTAGATTGCTCATCAATTACGTGGCCACACAGTCACTGCTGTGTCTTTTACTAGAGTGGTTCGGACACACCGGGCATCCTGTGGATAAAAATGATGGAGGCATGAGACATTCTTTTTGCCTCAAAAATATATATACAAATGCCATGTAAAGACCTATTGTGCTTCGTCGTTTAGGGAATGACGACAGGGAAGCGTCTGCGTGCGTCCAGCACAGACATGACTGTTTCCCATGTCCCATCTGCACTCAGCTGAGGGTGTGGCTGCACAGCCCCGGGTCTGGCCTCACGCTGTGATGGCAGAGCAGGGCCCTCCATGCCCAGGGGCTCGAGGGGCCCACACAGCCCTGCTATGGGTGGGTGGATGCACATGCGTGTGCATGTGCATGTGCATGTGTACGTGTGGTGTGGAGAGGGGCTGGCTCTCTTCCCTGGCCTCCGTCTCTGTGTCCTTGAGGCCTCAACTTCCTTCAGCTTGGCAACAGTCCTATCCTACCTCCCCGACCCCAGTGAGCTCAGGCAGACAGGCAGCACCCTCACCAGCATCATCAGGAGACAGGACCACGACCCTGGGACTGGAAAGGCCAGGCTCTGCTTTTCACCGCTGACCTGGAGCTGACTAGCTCAGAGCGCCTGGCCCAGCCAAAGCTGTGAAGTCTGTCGACCTAGAGACAAATGCAAACAGTCTCAGGACCTCAGAGTCCTCTGGTCTCAGGGTGATGGCTGTGTGTATGAGTCTTGTATGGATGAGGGGAAAAAAATTCCTATTTTATCTTTTAAAACAAGACAAACAAACCGGGTTTGCATCCCCAGTGGAAAGAGCACCTGTGTGTTCTGGAGGGAGTGTTTCCTGAGGGGCTCAGTTGTCCAGGGTGGATCCAGGAGTTGGTCTCTAAAAATGTTAAGACAGGGGCAACTGTGCACTTCACCAAGTAGCCCGAGACCATGTCCCGGAAGTCCCAAAACAGTGAACAGATGTGGATTTCAGAAAGCAAAGGGATGCCCTGAGCCCTGGGGGGCCACCTCTGGGGTGAAGGGTAGGTGGCCTGCTCAACCCTGGAGCACCCCGAGGGCACACCAAGTGAGCAGCATTGGCAGAGCCTGTCTGGGGACCTGACGGAGCGTCATTGCTGTTCAGCTGCCCCTGTGTCCTGCTGGCGATGTTTCTGCTCACCTCCTCAGGAAAGGCCACAGTGGCATGGGTCACCACCAGGCCTGGGCTACGGAGTGACGCGCGGTGTTGCTGACTTGGGAAATGACCTCACTCACTGCCCCTTGCAGCAGGGCATCTGGCCGGCCTGCAGCAGCTTCTTTGTCATTTCTTTAGGCTGCTGCAGAAAAGGCGGACTCGGAAGATGCTCTGATGGACGGGGACGCAGACGGGGACGGCGCAGAGGGCGAGCTGGAGGACAGTGCCAAGCTGAAGATGTTCCGCAGGGTGGCCTCTGTGGCCTCCAAGCTCAAGGAGTTCATCGGCAACATGATAACCACCGCTGGCAAGGTCGTGGTCACCGTGCTGTTGGGGTCCTCGGGTGAGTGCGTCCCGACTGCGTGGCTCAGGGCGCGGTGGAGGGAGGCAGTGCAGAGGAGGCAGCCGACACTGATAACTGTCAGGCCTGGGAACCCGGCACGTTGACAGCATGCGGATGGGCCACAGGAGAAAGTTGTGTTCTCTGTGGTTCTGGTCCTGACCTTGTGAGGGGTCCCGACAGTACACCCGTGACAGCCCTGTTAATACCCTTTTCCATATCCGAGTGACCTCATTTTCTGGGTGGAGGTCAGAATAACACCTGATTCCTCTTGCTCTGAGGGTGATCTGCTGCCCTGACCATCTGAGGGGCCCGCGGCAGCCACCCTTGTGCCTCCTAGCATGTCTCTGGACGGAGTCATTTGAAATCTTAATTTAACTCTCAGGATACACTATTTTTCTTCGGAAGCTAGATGGTAATCTTCCAGAAGAGACTCACTTCCTTTCAATTTTGGCCGTAGACGGCTTATTCCATGATGATATTATCTCCATCTTCTCCCTCCTCCCATCGCACTGCCACCAGCACAGGGAGCTTGCCACAGTGCGTGCACCCACACTGTCCAGAGGGGACGTCAAAAGTGAAGTACTTAAGTTTTAGTAGGAAAAAAAAAATAAGGTAGAAAAAGATGGTAGAATTTCTCAAAAAATCAAACCCAGCATCTTAGTGAGTGCTCCTTTCACAATGCCGGATAAATTGTGTTGAACACAGCTGCCTGGTCTTCCACGCCGCCCTTAGGGACAAGAAACTCCAAATCCTGGTGGCTGGACGAAGTTTTAGTGAGACTTGAGCTGCCACCAGAGGTCAGATCGTAGTTAACTTAACAATAAAGCAAATAAAATGGTGTTGGGAAGGTTGGGACGGACAGACATGAGTGCCCCCAACATTTGGGAAGCAGGCAAGTAAATATGCAGATTAATTCTGTTGGTGTGAAGGAGATGCTCACTGGCCTGAAATGCTGCAAGGAGGTCTTCTCCATCCTCTGGTCTTTCACTGCTTTTAAAAACTACCCCTTCAGGGTGATCTCTTCATGGTAAATACAGCACCTCTTCTGGTTATGTTGATTAAGTATGAGTAACCTCTCTAAAACTGCTCCCTGGCTAAGGGCAGGGGAAGGGACAGAGGGTTTGCTGCCCCATGGTGCTATCCAGCTCTGCTGTTCCTGACCGTCTTCCTCTCCCCAGGTATGATGCTGCCGTCTTTGACCTCGGCTGTCTATTTCTTTGTATTTCTGGGTCTGTGCACCTGGTGGTCCTGGTGCCGGACGTTCGACCCATTGCTGTTCAGCTGCCTCTGTGTCCTGCTGGCGATTTTCACTGCTGGGCACCTGATTGGACTTTATTTATATCAGTTCCAGTTCTTTCAAGAAGCCGTTCCACCCAATGACTACTATGCAAGGTGAGAGGCACTGCTGGGAACCCATGGGAGAGAGCACCCTGTCCACCCTGTGATGATGGTTGGGCTCTGTGGATTTCCAAGGGTTCTTCTGAATGAGGCCAACTGCTGTGTCAAGCAGAGATTTGATGAGGTGGGGAAGCAGTCAGGAGCTTTAATTTTATTGGACAATACAGTGCTTGGGTGGCAGGTGCTCACATGGTGACCTGTAGGGGTGGCTGAGATGGCAGGTGCTCACACAATGACCCAGGGTGACATTGCTCCTTGCTTGCTAATTGAAAAGGAAAAAAAATCAGAGTTTATGAACACATACAGCACTTTAGCTGCCAATTGATAAAGACCAACATTACTAAAGTCAAGAGAGCCATGGCTCTCCCAGCGCCAGGGTGGTGCACAATGTGGGTCCTCAGCACCTGCAGCCCCAGCCTTCAGACCCCACTCCACAGCACAGGCATGCAAAGGAGGGAAAACAGTTCCAGTGGCTCCACCAGAAAAACCAGTCAGAGAACCCAGCCTGTGGGTGCCCCAGGGGAGTGGCCTGGTGTCTTCAAAAGGTGTGTGGAGAGAGCAGGAGGAGAGAAGTGGAGAGGTAAAGACCCCAGCAGACAGGAGGGATGCTCATCTCTCAGATCCCAGGACATCAAGCCTCAAGGCTTCGAGGGCTGGGGGTGGACCTCCGGTGGGTGTTAGAGGACAGCTGGGAGTTACTACCCACGTTTCAGGTGCACGATGGCAGTGACGGTATTATGGGCACAGAGTGCATGCCATTGCTGTGGGAGCTGGTGGGGACTTAGGGAAGGAGGGTCATGATGCTTACTACTTTCCATGCTTCAGCAAGGAACAAAGGCCTGTGAGAGAGAGGGAGAAGACCGGAGTCCTTGAGCCACACGGTCAGTCTGTGTGAGCTTTTCTTTGGCCTTGGGAAAGTCCACAACCAAAGTTACAGAATAGAAAAAGGGCACAGGAGTGACAGGAGAGGGTGCTGGTGAGGGGGCTGGTGTGGGCGCCTGCCTGGGTCACTTGCCTCTGCCCCACCTGTGGGCAGAGCTCAGTGCTTCTTGGAGACACGAGGAGCAGGGGTGATACCGCGTAGGCCATGCCATCCCGTGCCCTTCTCTGCCGTCTAATATGGCCTTGGTGTGATGATAAATGCGCAGATGCGATGCACGGGCCTTCACTGATGCCTGTATGAAATCTGGCCACAGAGTGTCTGTACAGTGCTGCTAACAGGCATCAGTCAAATCCTAAAATTACTTAAACTCAGTTAAAATTAAAGTTAGTGCCCAGCACACAGGCACTAAATCCAGGTCGCACAATCGATTATGTCAAAGTCCCCCAGGTGATTGGAGCAGGCCACAGAGGGCCCTTGCAGAGTCTCTTCCTGAGGCAGGTTATGTGATATTTATTTTAGGCCTGCAGAGGTGAATAAATGTCTGATTTCAGTACAGAATTTAGTTCTGGACTAATGGATCCTTGAGCTTCTTTAGTTTATGGTTTATTGTATACATATAGAAAAACAGTTCTGCACTGTTGAAAGGGCTGACTTTGGGGATGACTTAACTGGGAGCCTAGTATCCTCTGGAAAGCAGCCAGTTTGGGTTTAATTCTTCCTGCTAGTTAAGGAGCTCTTCTTCCACCTAGTGGCTGAGAACAGGAACTATGACCACCTTGTAAAAGCTCTAGTAGGTCTGGCAAACTTCTGCTGGAAAGGGTGAGTTTGTATTTTAGGCTTTCAGGAGGTGATCATAGTAGGAAAGCAGCCCAGACAAGATGTAACAGAGATGGGTGTGCAGCACATGCCTGCTATCCCAGCTACCAGGACACTGTGGCAGGAGAATCACAAGTTCAAGGCCAGCCTCAGCAACTTAGCAAGGCTCTAAGCAACCTGATGAGACTTGTCTCAAAATAAAAAAAATAAAAAGGGTCAGGGACATAGTTCATGGTAGAGTGTCTGTGGTTTTAACACAAGAAAGAAATAGAGGGAGGGAGGGAGACACTCCATGTCTGAATCCTCTGGAGTGTCTAGTTAGAGTGCTATTCCCTGGGTCTTGTCCTCCTAGAGAGCAGTTGGAGGTGTGGGGCTGGTACCTCTCAGGGGAGTAGCTGGAGGCCCTGGCCTGGTTTTCCTTTCATCCAAAAGGCATTTCCATTGTTTGGTTGGTTTTAATTAGCTACTGTGAATAGCACCAAATGAAGGAGGGGGAGGGGAGGGGAGAGGAGAAGGAAAAGAGGTATAAAAGAATAAGCAGGTAGCGAGACCTGGTGGTGCACACCTATAATCCAGCATTTAGGAGGCTGAGGCACACAGATTGCAAGTTCAAAGCCAGCCTCAGCAACTCAGTGAGGCACTAAGCAACTCAGTGAGACCCTGTCTCTAAATAAAATACAAAATAGGGCTGGGGATGTGGCTCAGTGGTCAAGTGCCCGGAGTTCAATCCCCAGTGCAAAAAAAAAAAAAAAACTAGCAAACTAGCAGGTTCGTGTTCCAGTTAAACTTTGCTTATAAGCACTGAAATTTGAATTTCACGTTCTTTGCACATTTCATGAAATGATACCTTTCTTTAGATTTTTCCAGCCATTTATCTAGCCATTTTTAGCTTTATAACCTTTACCAAAACTGGCAGGGGCCAGGCTTGGGCCAGAACCACAGATTGCCATGCTGTGGGTGGATAATAACAACTCTTATAGTGTAATAATTGGCCACATTTGTTTTTCACTTGAATTGTCACAAACTCCAGGTTGTGATTTATTGAATATATTTTTAGATGATCCCTTTAACAATTTAAGAGATTAATTACTATCACCTCTAGAGTAAGTCCTTAGAAATTAGATTGCTTACCAGGATATGGAAACTTTGAGCTACATGATGCAGTATGTAAACTGCCTTGGTTTAGATACCTCACCATCCATTGACCTGGATGTTGCATTTGATTCTTTTAAATCTTGGAAATTAGCATCTTTAAAACAATAGATTTTTACTATGGCATTAGCCTCCATGTCTGAGTTGTAAGAAGACAAGCTGAAGACTAGGAGAAACAAATAGATAAAAGTCATCTTCCTGGGAACTGGTCACAGCCTTGTAACCACAGAGGTGCAGTACGCACACCCAGCTCCTGTACACAGCCACCTTTAGAACAGGGGGAGGTTCTGTGACCTTCTCAAGAGTTTTCAGATGGGCACTCTGGTGAGAACTAGCCTTATTTTTAGAAACATTGAATCGGTTTGGTTTTGCCATTACTGTGATGCATGTTTGTTGATGATTGTTTGAAAAAATAAAGAATAGAGGAAACACTTCAAAAAAAAATTGATTCTAACTCCCAGAAATGATCTTGACTTTTTAGTTCCTGTTTTTCCAGTATTTTTCCTTGACATATATATTTGTTTTTAAAACAAACCTGGAGGCCTGCTGTGCATGCTGCCCTGATGTAGCCTGTCCCTCTCCCTGAATCTGTGTGTCTTCTGGCCGTGATGCTGCCTTCTAGCACATGCTCCTCATGAGTGCGTGGACCCTGCAGCTTTGCCCCGAGTTTCGATTCACTTTTGCTCTAGTGCATGATGCGGTGATGAGCCCCATATTATTTTAAATCTAAACAGCCCTTGGGATGAGTAGGCTGGAGCCATGCTGTGCTCTCTGGGTTGTGAGGGAGTCTGTGTGGGGTGTGCCTTGCTGGGGTCTGTGGGGGACCTGAGGTTGCCATGGTCCTGGGCCAACAGCACATTAATGCACCAAGGGTCGGCAGTGCCCTCACCATGTGATGCTGCATTGAGTCCCATGCCTGTGCTTGGCGCAGATCTGGGGTCCTATTTTCTGTAGGTAATCCTGTCTTTTCACCAAGTGACCCCCAGAAGACTACCTGCTTCCCTCCAGATGCATTCGCCGCCCATCACTTTTTTCCATGAGAGGACATAGAGAAGATGAGCAGGGCACACATGGGCTTCAAGTTCACCGGGAACTTGATGGGTGTTGGGTTTTTGAGGGGGGGATTTAGTGATTGCCTTCAGTTGCTGCACCCAGGACAGTGAGACTGCATTAAAAAAAAAAAAAAAAACAGTGTCAGGACTTGTGATTTGACATTATGAATGTCCCCACGGACAGGCTCACACACTGTGCCTGAAAGTATGGTTGTTCTTCCCAAATCTGAAGTGCTGTAGTCTTACATCCACAAAAACATTAGTGATCACACTTTGGAGATTCATCCGGCAAAATAAAGCTTTAACATGAATCTGTGTAACTAAATATGAGACCCGCTAACAACAGCCTGTTTAATAGAATAGAGCCCTGTTAAGACTGTTATGCTGGCAGCGTCCCTGAGAAAAGGGACGAGCTGAACAAAGTTCGTCTTAGTTCATGCAGAGCCAGTCCATGCAAAGGGCGTGCATCTTATAGAAATCTCTGCAGACAGTAAGCACTTCACGCTTTGAAAGGAGTGCAGAAGTAGAATTCCACCTGTCGGGCAGAGGCTCACAGGCCTCGGTCACCCGTGGGCCTGGGGATGCTCCCCCGCTGCACCTATAAGGAGATCAGACCTGTGAGTCCGGAGGCACTGCACAGCTTCTCTACTGTGAGCCTTGCATTCAAAGAGCAGCCGGTGCACTTGGTAGGGGACAGGGACAGAGGTGGGAAACTGGCCTGGGCTATGTGGTCAAGAATGCTGTCTCCTGTAATAAACTGCATGATTTCTTTACACACTGGAGACTTTTATTAAAAGTCAGTTACAAGTCTGGCATTCGGTCTTTGTTTCCTTGTGAGACAGACACCTCTGAGGGGAACTTGCTTAAGAACAATCTTGCTGTTTCCTGAGATAGGTCAGGCTCTGAAGTAGGTGTCTGTGGTGGGCCCAGCAGGAGGCCAAAACAGATGCCTGGCATCCTGTGCCTGTCACCAGTGTGGACCCTGGTCCCAGTTGTCTGGTGTCTCCATCCCACTTCATTTTGCCCATGTGGAATCCTGAGACAGGCAGTGACGACAGTAACTTAGGTCCTCTCTGCTGCTCCTCAACTGG